GGAGAAATGAGACAGAGAATGAGAAAAAAATATATCTTTTGTTTTTTCCTTTTTTTTTTTCTTATGCTTTTTTTGTCTTTCTTTTATAATTGAATCTTTCTGATAAATATGAAATTGAACTTTTACTTTTACTTTTTTTTAGAGACAATTATTTTTAATTATGTATAAATAAAAAAAAACAAAACAAAACATGTTCATATCATCGTGTCGAACATCTGCACATCGAAATTCTTCATATTTATTATCGAACTTAACAATATCTTCATTAAATTCTTCACGTTCTTCAAATATAAGTGATGGTGAATGGATTATTAATAGTATATCATTAATAATCTTTGTTCTTGCTGTACTGGGAAATACTGCTGCACTTTTTGTTATGTTTGGTTCTCGAGGACCAGTCAAATTGACAAATAATAAATATTTAGTGAATTTAGCATGTGCGGATTTATTACGTGCATGTTTTATGCCATTTACTATTATAGCAAGAGTCAAACGAAACTTTGTCTTTGGACCACTTATTTGCAAAATTTTACCCATTGTTCAAGGTAATTTTGTGGTTTTTATCTTTGAAAATTGTTAATTAGAATGTGTCTTTATATAGAAACATAGATTTTCTTTTATATGCAAATAAAAGTTAAAAATATCAAATAATACTTGATGTCAGTGAGTTAATAATTTCTTTTGTTTTTATTAAAAACGGCGAAATAAGATAAAGAACCGATTGAATAAATATGCCATAAAAAAGTATGTCAGCATAACTTGTTCTATATATTGTGATTTAGTTTAAGAGTCCTTTTTAGTCATATAAAACATGAGTATTTATTTTATTCTATTAATTATTTTTATTTTAATCAAAAAAATGTTGAAACATGACATAAAGAATCAAGATGAAATATACTTAAGATTAATCTTTTTTTCATTAAAACAAAACATTTTATTCATTCAAACATTTATATATGCAACAAAGATTTCAAAAAAAATCTATTGATTTATTTAAAAAGAAAGAAAAAAAAAAACTCGAAAAGTTATGTGTGAGAAATAAAATAGTGAATAATAAATGTTTTTGTTAGATAACATTATTTCTAGTGCAAAAGAAACTGCTGATAGTTTGATGTCATTTTTAGTATTTATATTTACATAATCTATTGTTAGTCGGTCTATCTAATTATCAGAAATAATGATTTTTCTATACTATTTTTATTTGATAATTGCTGAATTAGAAATTCATTATGATATGTGATCAGGTTACGAAATCTATGTATGTCAATATAAGGTCAAAAGCTTTTTCTTTTTAGTTTACTATGTTTATTTTTTTTTTTGAGATAATCAAATTAAAAAGAAAAACTTTTTTTTTAAATTATGTTTTCATTAAAAAAAGTAAAGATTGTTTTGTCCTTCTAGTTTAAGGACAGTAACTAAACCATTGAATATCGTGTAGATGAATAAGATCAAAAACACGCAAGGGAAATTTATCTCATTTAACGTGACGGTTGTAATTACGTCGAAAGAAAGTGCCTTCATTAATGTCAAACAAACGTAAAAGAATCGAAGTGCTTCATTTCAATATTTAATGTCAAAGAAATTAGATAATTATTAAATGTATTTTAGTTTTTTTTTTTTTTTCAATTTGTTTATACTTCGAATAGTTGATTAAAATTTCAAATATCCATATGAGGTTTTTTTGAAGTAACTCGATAAAAATAAATTAATGCTATTCATCATCAAATGATTTTTTTATGACAATAACAGACAATCTTCTTGCACTAATTTTACTATTCAAAATTTGCATAAAAAATTTTTCTAATCTGATAAACAGATGGACATGTAATTAATGAAATAATATCAGTAAAAGTCTATGATAATGATGTCAATCTTTCTTTCTTCTACTGAAAAGAACAGTATTTTAATTTTAAGCAATGAGATCTTTTGTGCTCACATTTCATAATGTATAATATGTAGACAAATTCTCATATAACATAAAAACTAAGAAGATGAATGTATAAATTTTCTATCGAATTGAAGAGACATTGTCTCATTAAAAAACACACATCAGTTTTACATATTCTTCCATTGAAATTTTCCTTCTAAACAAACAAAAGAAATTTCTTTTCCTGCAAAATATAATTACTTAATTATTGACATATTAGATATTTTTTTTTTTGTAATTGACATAAAAATGTCATGTTTGATAAATAAATAACCTTGAAAATCAAATCAATTTAATAATGATTTACTTTTTTAGGTTTAAGTGTTGCTGTTGATGTGTTTACTCTTGTTTGTATAAGTGTAGAACGTTACTTAGCAATATGTCATCCATTATTAACAATTAAACTTCAATCTCTTCGATTTACTAATTTTCTGAATGGTGTTATTCTATTTTTAATATGGATATTAGGCCTTTTAACGGCTTTACCAAATATTTCGATCTATAATTTATGTTCTTTACCTCAACCTGGAAGATTTAAATGTGAAAAAGTCAAGCCACAAGATTTTGATGAAAGACTTTATATGGTTGCTTTAGATGGTAAAATAATTTTGTATTTAGAAAATTAATTAAAAATAAATTCTTTTCTTTTTTTCTTATAGTTTTTTATTTTTTGGTTCCAATGCTTTTCATGCTTGTTCTTTATACATTAATTATTTGTAAAATATATAGAAATAATACTGCAACGAAAATGCGAAATTTACCAAGTAAATTTATCTATTTAAGATAAAAACTAAAATATTAATATATACGTATTTTAGATAGTTATTCGGGCAAAGCTCATTCAAATGCATCAAATTCTCCAACTCTTCATCGTAATAGTTATCGTCAACGTCAACGTATGTCATTAGAAAATCATCAATATAATTCGAATGAACATCAACAAAAGCATGATTCATCAAATTTTGAACTTCTTGGACGTATACCATCTCAAGAAAGTAGTGGTAAATCAAAATCTGGTTATAGTGATGATGATTATCAAATAACATCTTCATGGCCAAAACATGTTAATCATAATCAAAAAAATCCTTTATCAAATATATTCTCTCGTCAAACATCAAAAGAAAGTAAACGTTCAAAATATTTTTATAATTCAAATCATTCTTGTGGAGGTAGTTATAAAAGTCGTTGTTCATCAACAAGTCAAGGATATGATCTAATTGATCGTCATCGTCGTAAAGCACTTAAACTTTTAATTGTTATTATTGTTGAATTCTTTATTTGTTGGACGCCATTATTTATTTATCATACATTTGGAACATTTGATAAAAAATTTTATCGTTCAATGCCAAGTATATTTGTTGATTTAATTCTTCTTTTTTCATTTGCATCATTATTATGTAATCCATTTACTTATTATTTTATGTCAAAAAGATATCGAATGGTTTTATATGCTTATTTATCATGTTGTTGTTGTTGTTATAAAGTTAAACCAAAATTTAGCAAAAAAAATCAAGCAGCACGAAAAATGATTCAAGCTTTACATTTACATCAACAACAAAATTCTCTTGAATACAAACAAAAAATCAATAAATATAAATTATCACAACCTAATTATATTATATATCAAACTAAATTTAGATCAAATACAGTACAATAAATTTTTCATCTGTACTTTTATTCTCTTTATTTTTATTCGACTTTTTTACATCACAAAATATGAAAACACTTCTAAAATTCGAGTATATTTCTATTGTTCTTGTTTTTTTTTTCAAGTAAAACTGATGATTGAATTAAAGAATTCTTTATTATTTAGAGAATATCATGACTTTTATTCTGCACATTGAATCTCAGATCAAAAGAACAATTAGTTTTTGAAAATTGTGAATAATAATATATTCTAAGACGTAAGGTTTATTAAGTTTTGTAAGAACATTTTTGATGCAGAAAAACAATAAAAGATCATCTTTGACTTTTCTTCGGATCAAAAGTTTTCTTCAGCAGACATAAAATGTTGTGTACGAGAATGTTTTTCTTTTATAGGTGCATACATGCGAGAAATATTATATAAAACATATTATCAATTAAATCTCGAAATTAATAAACACGTCACTAGTGTACACGGGCACATTAAGTTAATGTGACTCGTTTTCTTTTTCTTTGTGTTTTTTTCTATTCCTTTCAACAGAAGAATTTTAAATAAAAACAAAGCCAAGCTTAAATAAATACCTTAAATATTCACTAATCTTTAAACGATCGACGGCTTGTGTTGTTCTGAACTAGATCTTTTTCTATCTGTAAACTATGATTGGCTCTATTAATAACAGTAGTTAACTTTTGATAATTATTCTAGAGGAATACTATGTTTTGTTTACTATTTGTTTTCAAAGTAATAGGTTTTTATATCATATTATTTTCACAAACATCCTTATATCAATGAAAAGGTCACAAAAACAGACATTTTTCATTGGACTTTTGCATAAGAAATTCTTTTTTTTTTTTTATTAATTTCTTATTTACCTAACAAAAGACAAGTTATATCATTTGAATAATAAGAAAGATGTTAACTCATTTTTCATTGTCAATAAAAACACTGATCAATGTCTATATAAGTGAATACATTTCTAATCAATTCAGCTGAATACACACGAACATTCATCGTATCCTAATTTATCTTAACGATCAATTTACTTCCATAAATACAGAATATCTATGAATTTAAATAAATCTCACCAGGCAAATATAATTTATTAACGAATCATCTATTGAATTCCTTAACATAAAATGAAATATTAACGAAATATCTATTGCATATTTATCTTTCTAACTATTATACTTAATCAAAAGAAAAAATTTCTCATACAACTGCTATATAAATAAATAGTCATTTAGAAGTGTACTTAAAAATACCCAATAATATGTGTATGATTAAGGATGAATAAATGAATCATGAAAAATCTATTTAATTTGTACACTTTTTCAATATGAATGCTAGTTTATTAAGATATGCATAATAGAACTAAACGAATTAATGGAAATTTTAAACATGAATATACATAATATATGACGAGTCCATTCAGTTTATTTCAGAATATTGATCAATCAAATAACGAAGTTTTTCGGGTGAAGCACCCATAAGTTCGCCTACTGTTCCAAATGGGATTTTGTGATTTGCATTCAAATGAGATCTGCAAATTGAATAAGATATAAATAGAAAAGAAGATAAAAACAAAAGAGATAAGTTACTGAGTAGGAACAAGCATTTTGGTTAATTCAAATTTTTGAACTAATGAAGCACTTATATCTCGTGTAATTGACTTTTCAAATTTTGGTAAATCATTTTCTTCTTCACTAAAATTGATAAAAGATATTTTTGTCGATTAATTCTAATGTTTTAACCTTTGAATATGTTCCATTAAACTCGACATAAGTTTTTCAAATGTTGTAGGATAATGTGAATCTGCTACAGATGAAGCTTCAAGTACATGCAACATATTTTTAACCTATTTTTTAGAAGGAAAAAATAATTGAAAAACATCATCATAATAATGAAGAAAAACAAAATAAACTAAAATACTTCTTGATGGTCATCACGGTCTTGATCAGTGATATTTTTTCCTTCGACGCCTAAATATATTTCAAAAGTTGGATAAAGAAAAAAGTTCTTCAGCAAGAGTATGTCGAGTAATTTCCCATTGTAAATAATTAGCCCAATATTCTCGTTCAACCATATTTCCTCTTAATGATATATATTTCTATTAGAATCAAAGAACATATTTTTATCTTTTGAATAAATAATTAAAAAGAAACCTGATAAGCATTTTTAACATCAGTATGATCTTTTAATATCGTAGCTATAATAGATGATTTTGAATTCATTTATTCTTTTTAATTGTTTAGAAAATACGAAAAAATGAAAATAAATTCGAAATCTTATTTGAAATAGATCAAGAATTAATATGAGAATTTTATCTATTGAAACAGCGTATATGTACAGGAAAATATGAACTTGATAATACTAGCACGTTATCCGTACACGTGTACATTAAATCAATATACGCAATAGAAACAAATATAGTTATTATGATCTTTCAGTACAATTAAAGTTAACGAGTATAGAAAATAATTTTTTGTTTCAATAGGAATTATTATCTACTATCATATTAAACAAACTAAGAAGATTGTAAACTTAAATTATAATTGTTTCATAAGACGTCTATTATAAAACTAATTTGTATGTTTCTCAATACAACGATTTTTTTAAACTTTTTATTATAATTGTTTTTATCATTTGATGAATTGAAATGATATAAATCAAAGTTTTTAATAGAATAATACTTATGATTCAAATTCAATTACAACGAATATTTATCGTTGGCAAATAAACTTTTTCAATAATATTTTTTCTTAGCACGGCTGAAACTTTTTCTTATTTGTTATTCATCTTTTTTTAGTTTTATTCTATGCTATACCAATTAAAATATAACATTAATAAATAACATACTTTCCATTATTTAGCATGATGATTTCGTACAATCGTCTTCAATATAGATAATAAGATATGGTGTCATCTTCATCACTATTTTATTGATAAATAATAAATCGATAAAAACAAAATCTTTATAATCAAATAGTAGTATATATATTTTTGAAAATAAATCTGTCGTCCAACTATTGCTATCCATTAATGGTTCTCTTTGATAAATGAATTTTTCTTCTTTATATACATCATCTTCTCGTTATGATGCCATATAAATATACGATGACATATCTACGACTGAAAAGATACTATCATCACTATTTAAAGATTATTTCTATCATCATTAAACAGAGAGTTGACGATAATAACCATGATAAACATATAAAAACATCTAAGATGCAAACAATGTCAGTATTATATACGAAAATGCTTGTTAGTACAAGCTGTTTGGAGCTCTAATATGGAACTCACATGTGTGCTCTTTGGTCTCGTTGTACTAATAGCAAATATGTCAAGTGATAAATGTCTCTCAAACTATAATTGGTTTCCAAGATAATCAATCGCTAGAGAAATGATCTATCCTATTTATTTCTACATTTGTAACAGAAGTTTTTTCTATTTTTTTTCTGTCACTATTTTCTGTTTGTCTTGTTGTTATTTTTCTTTTTCGTATTCTGATTTTCTTAATTTAGCATTCTTATTATTCTAACCATTGATTTTACTGACAAATAACCCTGTTGTACATATCCATTATATTAGACAATCTATTTCAACGTAGTTCTATATGTATATATATATTGGTAGGCTTACAAACACTGATATTGATTATTTGCCAAAGTTCTACTTTGATCAGTTCAAATTTTCTACGACGACTGTAACAAATCAATGCATCAACATCCTAGTATCGTTGACATCTTAAATATAAATTCTTATTGACATAAAAATCAAAGATTACACTATTTAGAACACTTGAATATGGATTCTAGTTATAGAAATTTTGAGTAAGACTTCAAAATATTTTATAATTGTCTGAAACAGTTGAAGTTTTATCGTCAAAATGTCGTGCAGCTTCTTTTTTCATTAGCAAAGAAACTCTGAGAAAAGAATCTGATACTTGTTGTTCTCGATGGTTAAGGTTTGTACACCGGCTGGGGGAAGGAAAGCGGCAAAACTTCGACTTAAAACTTCTATTCACTATATTCTTTGAAAATATCCGTAAGTTCCACGGAATAATTATGAAAATATGAATTACAAGGTAAGATTAGACATAAAGAATAATTTTCTTTCACTTGATCTCCAAACTAAAATATAATCAGAATTATTATTTTTTAAAAATTTTCATCTCTTTTTTCAACGAAATTATGTTACTTTTATCAAATTTCGATAACTATATTATTAATTTTTTTTTCGAAGATTTCGATAACAATTTTTATCATAGTTCTTTTCTCTTGCTGTAATACACTCATTAGATTTTGCGATTAGTTTCTTCCATCTTTAGATTTCAGAATTTCTTTGTTCTTATTGACAATGATAAAGATGAAAAAATGAATTAAAGACAATCAAAGTAGTCTAACAAAGTTCTAATGAATCCTGTTTCATTCACAGAATTGAATGTATGATAAGATTTAAAAAAAAACAGTTGACTTTGATATTTCAATACAATTTGAAAAGAATATTTTCGTTATTAATTTTCTCTTTTGTAAATAACTAAAAAAAAAGTATTTTCAAATTGAAAAAAAAAATTAAATTCGTTTTTACTTTTATTTATTTTGATAAAGATAATAATTAAAATTCAGATGAGAAAATCGATTGTATTTTCTTTTTTCTTTCTTTTCTTTTTATCCAAATGAAGTGTAAATTGTTCTGCGTCCTTAAAAGAACTTTTAAATGAGTTTCTATTTTTTATTCCACTTAACAAGCAAATATACAAAAGAAATATGATCCTTAACTACTGTTGCTTACCGTTATTTCGTTTCTTATACATGTCAATGTCAAATAATAATAAAAACACATTCGAGTAGTCGTATGTGTACGTTTTCTTCAAAAATCCTTTTTTTTCAATTGAGCTTTTTTTTTGTGAGTGTGTAATGACAAAGTAAGAATGGTTGATTGGGCAACTCAAGATCGTTTGTATCCACATGGCTATCAACCAGTTGATATTCGATATAGACGTATTAGTATTGATTCATCATTACCTTATTCTATTGCATTAAATAAAAGTAAGTTTTTCTTTACATATAAAATAAAAATATTTTAAAAAAATGATTATTGACAGGACATAATTGTCGTTCACAATCAAAGCAATCAAGAATTTTTAAAAGTGAAAATATATTTAATGAAAATCTTCATCATGGTCTTTATTCAGCTATTTACTTCTTTAATAATATTTCTAAAAAATCAAATAATGATAGGTAAAATATTTTCATGAATAGAAAAAAATAAATAAATATATAATTTATTCGAAATAGAAATCCAAAATTACTTGCATCGTATTCTTCTAATATAAATTGGCCTCGTTCAATATGTTGTTTATCTAAAACTGATGGATCATTAATTATATGTGAACAAGATCAATGTCGTCTTCTTCTTTTTACATCTAAATTAATACTTCGTTCAACTTGTGGTGAAAAACGAGGTAATGGTCTCTATGAATTTGATTCACCATGGAGTGTCGCTGCATTAATCGATAAATCATCGTCTAATATTCTTGTAGCTGATACAAATAATCGACGAATACAATTTTTTACTATTGAATATAATGGACAATTTTTACATCAACATAGTTTAATTATAAAAGAAAAACCTTATTTCATTGCAACAAGCAAACGACATTTTGCTGTATCATGTGAAAAAAATTTAATTATTACTTTCTTAGCAAACGAAAGAACTAAAGTAGCAAATATCAATCTCAAGAAAATATCATTAATACAAAGTAATAGAAATAATTGTATACAAAAAAAAAAAATATCAAATTTTTTTTAATATTTCTCAATCATGTTCAATCTATTTTAGATTCAAATGAAATAGCGTTTTGTTTATGTATGGATCCTGAAAGTAGTCTTATTTTCGTTAGTAATCCAATTGCACCATCGAATGTAATTCATCAATTAACAATAAATGGTGAATATCTTCGTTCTATTAAACTTGATCATAAACCATTTCTTCATATATCTTCTCTTACATTTGATGCTCATAATCAACAACTTATTATTGCTGATTCACTTAATTCGATTATTTATTCAGTAGAACATGATTTAGATGAAGATAACGTAGAAATTTTATTAAAACGTTCTGATAATGTTAATTATCCTCAAGACTTGTGTATTAGTAATGAAGGTCATTTGATAGTCGTCGAATGTAGTGTATTAACACAACATGCATTAAAAATCTTTCGATATCATCCGTGCGTATGTCATTCACGTTTGACAACATCTAGTGTTAAGACAAGTGAAACAACAAGTGTTCGATCAATTATTTATCCATATTAATTTGAAGAAATAATAATAAAAAATTGTTTACTTATGTCTAATCATGTCATCAATATGTATGAAATAAACAACAAATCAAAAATTTCATTTGATAAAAACTACAAAGAAAAAAAAAGGCGTCGATATTAAACGAATTGACATTTTTATTTTAAAATTTTCATCAACATGTCAATATGAAAATATTTCCCATAACATACTCAACAATCTGTTCGATTTTCTTTTAAAAATTTTTTCATTTTTATAAAGGAAGATTGTAATTAATTATCATAGAATTGAAAAATTTAACAATATAACGTGTTGATGAATGTTAAGAGCAGAAATATGCATGAGTATAGCCTATGTAATTATTAGAATTCTATAAAAAATCAACAGTTGATTATTGTATGATGATTTTATATCTTTTTTTTAAGTTCGTCAGCTTTTATGATTTAATTTCTCATCAATCGATCTATTTCACTGTCATTCGAACACGAAAAAAGTTGCAAAACAATTAATATAAAAACCTGCGTATATTTTTTTTGTCAAT